ACTGAATTATGCATAGAATGTCGTTGAGAAACGCCGGGACTGGATGCAGATTTGGGACGTGAGCTGTCGGCTACAGTATTCGACTACAGCTAGTTCCCGCAGGCCGAGAACCGGCCCCGCCTAACATTTGGCCACGTAGAAAAACATAGTGAGGCTTGGCCCGTATTGAAACTTATCATACCTCGACATACCTGAGCCCGATTGTATAAGAAGCGAGTTCCTTAGGTATGCGTCCGACTCGCACGTCTGCGCTGATCTTTCACGTCTTTTTGGCGAAGCGAACTTTGGAGCAGCAGCCTTCGAAAGGCAAGCTGATTTGCGATGTCGCTTTTGACTGCTTAATAAAGCTACATATGATTTCGTGGCTCAAAAGAGCGTGCACGAATCTTCAAGGTAAAGCAGAAGGCCTCCCCCACACGTTAGCACATCATAGCCATTATTCTCTCAACAAAATACTTTTGCGCGACTCCAAAACAATCTTGAAAAGGTAGACATACGGGCTTTCGAATCTAGAAAGTGGGCCTCCGCAACCGGGCCGCTCGATGAAAAGCGAACTTTCTGGCGGCCATGGTGCGGACGTACAACTGTCCTGAGTTTTTCCTGGTGCGATTTCTTCAGGCGCGTTCACTTTTCTAATGCAGCCGTCTGAGTTCTGTCATCACAAGGCAAACGGCCGACAGCTGATTCTCTTGGAAGGAATCATTTCGGGCAAACATCCGGCTGTGGCAACCGACTGGAAGGTGTTCAGCTCCCGCGCACAGCGGAGTGGGTCTTTTACGTTTGAACTTCCTGATGCAGTCACTGAGCTGCCTTCCACAAGTACTCATCTGCTTCGAAAAGAACCCCTTGAAAAGCTGGAAGAAGAGGGGCGAGATAGAGCCCCAAGTCGCGCAGGGGGACCAGAACAGGTGTCTTAGGAGGAAGAACTTTGACAGAGGTTGGCCTAGGTCGCAGTTTTACTCGACTTTTGCCAGACGCAATTGAGAAACTAGGCCGTTTTCATTGAAAATGATTGCAAGCCTTGGCTTTTTCGAACCCTAACGCTTAGTGGCTTCATTCATTGTCCATGAGACGGACACGAGACGGATGTGAATCTTTTCCCACCCAATGGTCGAGCGATCATCGCCACACTGCCGTCTTGCAAAAGGACATGACACGAGAGAGATACAAACGTGAGGACCGGCTCAATCGCGCCGACCAGCAGAGGTACAAGGCCACGGGGGGTGGTGTCAACTTGAACTGCTCGGTATAGACCCACAAAGTGTCGCTAAAAGAACGGCTGCTTCCGCAGGGCTGAGCGAAAGTCGTGGATTCAAATGCTAGATGTCTCGCGCTGGAAGCTGCTCCCCACGTCGTAGCAGAATGTTTCGAATGTCAAAGGATACGTCCGACTTGATTGATGCTCAGTTTGATACGTACTTCAAATAAAGGTATAAAGCTTCGGAATGGAAAATGCATTATCGTTTTCCGAGCTCAGCTTCTTCTTACTTCGGAAGGCTCAGTCTAATCTGTCCAATAGTTGCGTGAGGTGCTCAGGTCACCCCATAAATCGTAAAAATCAACGTCACTTGTTCTCTTTTCCTAACCTCAATAGCAGTGAAATGTTTCATCAAAAATTTCAAGCCCGGTACTCGGGCGGGCAGCTCAAAGCTTAACAGTTTGTTGACTCCTCATGTCAGCGCGAAAAACTCCTGAATCTGCCTTAATAGTCAGAAACAGAGACCTGACACGGGGAGACAATAACATCAAGACGCTGCAGTCCGCAAGATGAAGCAGACTTGCAGCCAACGAGTACGCTATACTAAAGGCGGACGTCACGAGAAAGCACAGGAGTGCTCGTCAAGATTAGCGGCCCACAACATGTAATAGGCCGCCAGCTTTTTCCCAGAAGCAGCTGATAACAACACCGCAAATTAGGAGAGATTCTAGGACGCATCTATACATCACTCGCCCGAAATTCTTCCGAAATTATCTCAAAAGCAGACTTTAATCTTGCGCCTTGGACCACAGTCACTTGGATACGGCCTAGAAGCTCTACTCAACAAGCGAAGCATCGATTAGTTCCCTTGAAACCGTTGGCTGCAAACGTTGAGCACAAGAGCCGCCAAGTAGAGCGGGTTGATGACGGTTTTGAACGACGACGTAGCATCGGAGGTGCCACCAGTGGGGGACGTTGAAGCGGAATTCCTCACCAAAATGCTTACTCATAGCCATGATTAATAAGTATAAGCAGAAATAAATCGAGTCATTTAAAGTGTGTTAGCATTGGACTAAAAACCCGGCTCTAGGCTGACGTCTAGAAACTGAAGGACTCCCAGCCCAATAGCCGCTTGGTCCACGACAAAACACTGGCCGCATTGTAATGACATTTGTCTTACACTGAATTGTGCCCTTGTGCTCTCAGCCCGCAGAAATCGCGGATCAAGTCACTCTCTTCTGCCGCTTTGCGAAACGGATACAGAGCACAACTGCAATACAGGACCGAAAGTGGCTTGTCGCAGCGCGCAGCCGTGTGCCTACGACGACGGATTTGTATACTCTTCCCTGCCCACGGTGCGATGACGACGCGTCTGGCAGATAGGGTCAATGTATGCGCTTATCCCTGCAGCTCGGCTGCACCTGCTCGGGCCCCTTCAACTCGCACCCGAGATGTTGTTTTCGACGAAGCCTATCAAAAGGTCCCACCAAGGGGGTGATTATACTAAATCGTCGAATTCCGCGAACTTTGCACCTTATGCATTGCAAACTGGCCGTGCAAAATCTTGGGTGCGAGTTTAACACTAGAACCGGAAGTAAATGCTCACTTTAGTGAGCATCTGCATTCAAGCTTCGGACATCATCTCTGAATTGGTATTTTGACATTTTGATGCAAAACAAGTTATAGCATTGCAAAACATCATGTTTTGGACTAAAACCGCCCTTGAAACTGAAGAAAATCGAAAACGAGCATGCATCGTGGGCTTCAGAGTCTGGCAAGAGTATGCTGGGCAGTGGCCTGTGACTGCCCAGTCTCGAATTGCAGCTTGCATCAGAGCCTTTTGAACTGGGAATGAAAGGCGTGTAAAGGCTCGCATTTTCCTTGTCGCTCTTCGTGATCTTCGATCTGATCAGAAAGGTCAGGCCGGTACAAGCATACACCACCAGCCGGTGATCTAACCCTCTGTAGCACTCAGTCTAGAAGGTACGGCACACTCTGAAAGGTGCTTACTCTGTAGGCTGATTGCTACCAAAGGTTAGCAAGGGACAAAGCGACCATGCAGAACTTACCTCGTAAAAGTTTGGGTGCGCGTCGACCGACAACCTACTTGGCCTCCAGTGTTGGCTTTGTATCACCGCCAAGTAGGAGTTACGGTACTCTCCAAACCGGAAGATGGCTTTGGTAATGTAGCTTTCTAACCCCGTGGATCTACTGGAACATTCAATTGGCTCAAAGCTCGGGAACAATCTGGAAAGCTCTTTGCAGCATTTCGGTCGAAGCGAACTCTTAGTTGAGCTTCGATGACCAGGCTTGGATCACGATCGGCTGCGGCTCTGAAGCCTCTGGGGATACGTTCTTCCGGGCGTTCGAAGGTGCCCACAGGAAATAGGCAATGTTTACCACTGCCAAAAGACAATCTGCTGAAGTAAATTGAGCAGAAATCGTGGCCAACGGCGTGTGCCCTTGAAGCAGCTATATACGGCCAATTTGGACGAGCATGCCACTTCCGGCCAATACGAGTTTCCCGTCCGAACCATATAAAGAGAGGCTGAACCCTCGTCAAGAAGCTTCCCAGCGAGACCGTCAAAGAAAGAATCGAGCAGCTTGAGCTTCTTGGCGCTTCGCTGCAATCAAAGGATTCACTCGTTGTGGTACTCACAAAAGACATGCGGCTCGAAATGACTCCTTATCACACAAGTGAAGGCCTTTGGCCTTTCTCTGAATTTCATCACGAGCTCCGCTGTTGGCCTCGAACGACGTTTTCGCACAAACATCGCATGTTCATCTTGATAGATCGATCCTGGCTGCTCGGGAATCGGCAGCCTTTATCGTGGACGAAACGCAAACTTAAGCTTGACCGCCCCCACGTTCAAAGACAAAGTGGATCTAATGGCTGACAAAGATTCTTGGTCGAGAATAATACCTGGACCAGACCACGAAGCCAAAACTGGAACAAAGAACTCTTGAGAAAGTAACGGAGGCAGCCTTTCTAGATGGATCTCCAATTGCGCATACACGGTTCCCATTTTCGTTTGGGCCACTTTCTTTCATCGAGCTCACACGTTGGGGACCTTGTTCATTGTTGGGATCCACTCTCAGACCTACATAACCGCAAGGCTTTGCAGGATTTCTCCAACGAAGTGGCAGGTGCCAGGAAAGTTGAAACGAATTTCTCAATAGGTCTTCGGCGAAGCATTATCTAAGCTTGTTCAACTTGCTAAGTAAACAATGCTAGCGCAGTGTCACCCGGAAGGGGATGTCAAAGCATATCTTGCGTTCGAAGCTTTTTAAAACCTTTGGAGGACCTCAAGTCACGAGAGAGGGCTTTGTGCCAACCCTTTCCTGCATTCCAGGCAGAGATTTGGCTGCATCATTGCCTTCATTGGTCTGTGGACGGGCCAGTTGGAATGAGAAGCAATCTTCAGGAACGATACAATTTCGTGAATCAGTTCGCGGTTCTGCCGCAAACTCATTTCAAAATCAGGGTGCAACCCAAGCCGTCACTAAAATACACGGGGCTTTCTGATGAGCACCTTAACTGAATTCACGACGAGCCTGATGCTTTCGTCGATTTCGAAAAGCCAGCGTCTTAGTTTTGCCGGCCTGACACGAAAGAAATGTAACAGCTGCAGGACAGTCTTTCTTCGCTGTCTAAGGACTCCAACCAAAGCTCTTTCTGCAGGTCAAAAACCCATTGGATATCCCGCCTTATCGACACCTGGCCTTTTCCCGCTTTCCTTAAGCTGCACTACCGTTTCCCCACTTTACGTCGACCAATCTACGTCAGCTACTCGGAATGACGTCACACCCCGCCCGTGAAGGACCAGACCGGGTCCTTGTACCGGTCCACTCCGCACAGCGCACAGAAGCGCTCCACCCGCTCGGCGAAGGAGTCCCGGTGCACCTTGTCGATGGTGACACGCTCGTCTGTGCTTCGGCGGTAACGCTCCTCCAGCTGCTCCAGCTGAGCGTTACGCTCCGGCGGCGGCAGCCCGGTCAGGCCGGTGGCGATCCACCGGGTGTCGCCGAAGAGCAGCTGCAGCGCGGACGGGTCCCGGGAGGCGGTCTCGAGCACCTGACACGTGGCCGTCACATACGTCAGCCCTACGTCAGCCCTACGGACCGAGGTAGAAGGAAAGTGATGTACTCTGGAAGAAACTTGAACGTGGGCCTGTGTAACATGCTGGTGCTGGATGGGACGCTTTTAATAAAACGTTTCTGAGAAGAACAGCGCACAGACGGTAGAGTGTGCGACAACGAAGCGGCCATTAAGCGTCTCCGTTTTCATAAAGGCGCCTTTCGAGATCCTCACAGCACTTGGTCACGAAAGCCCACTCCTTTCCTTAACCTTAGAAAGGAATTACGAGATTGTCAAATTTTCAGCTTTTTAGCTCTCGAGCATTCTGAAAGCTCGAGACATTCGATTCTGGGATCAAAGCGAAACACGCGGACAGCTTTGACGCACCACAAAGCGCGTCAAGGAAAGAAAGCAAAGCTAACGCAGGCGTCGAACCAAGTCATCAGTCTCGAATCGACTTCGATGACCTCAGAAGCTTTCTAGTAACGTCATTTGCCCCCAGTGTCCAGAGCATTCACAACATTAACGATCAGCTGGTACGTGAGGCTCCTGCTAAAAGGTCGGTCTGCTCGCAAGACCTTGCGCGCCGATCTGAGCAGTCAAATAAGGTGGCTTAAGTTGCCCATGCCAAGTTACAATCTGTTTCATTTAAGAAACTCCAGGTAGCTCTCCAAGTACAGCTTGCAACTGCTGGGATTTTGGTTCTCAGCGTGAGCACTCATTACGTCATTGCCGGAGGTTGATATCGATGCAACCCAGAAATATCTTTCGGAACAGGAGGGAACAGGAACCTTAGGAGGACTTTGGAAGCGTACATTTACAGTGCGTACAATCACGTGAGTAAGAGAACCTTGACCGCATGCATAACACTGTGAGACAGTTTAAAGCCCAGAGGGATTCTGGAGAAATTGTCTCTGCATTTCACCGATCATATTTGACAAGCAAGTGGCTTCAGCAGGATGTTCTCGAGCATGAGGACACTGGATCAAAGAAAGATCACCAGAGGCCCGCTTGCTTCATCACCACTTGAATCGAAGCTGATACAAATTATGATAGATGAACGCAGCAGAATCTGGGCTGGACCGGACAATGTTGTTCAAAGACGGCTCATGGGCTCAGGAAAGATGGAAACGTCGGTATACAAGCAGCTTATTCGGTGGATATGCGGTGAGTCAATCCACGAAGACAATCCGCACGGTCTGATGTTTCTGCGGGGAATATAAGAGGAAGTCCGACGGACTGGACTCGCTCAATCGTAAGGAAAGCAGGCACCGCACAACCAAAGAAAGCCTCGAAGAGATCTATCATCAAAAATCAGAAAGCCCGCAGAAAAGGATTTCCCACTGTCAAATTTCAAGCACGTATGTATAAGCATGTAAGCACTCTCCGCTTTCACAATTACCGGTCTTTGCTCCACAATCCAAAAGCACAACCTCATTCAGGCCGTTCCCTTTCACTGACGCTCTTCAGAAAGAAGACCTGCATGCGTTCTCGCAACCGACGATGATCAGGATGACCTCCGAGCAGTGTGCGTTCGCTATTTAGTGACGTAATTCTCACTTCTGCTTCAAGTCATTGTCATTCTCTGAGTCCCTTCTTCGGGATGAGTACATTTCTACTGGATTCCCCGGCCAGGATTTCGACAATTGGGGAGTTGCGTTGAAACGAAAAACACCGGGCAAATTCTCACTAACCTCGGGCGACACCAGCCACTCTAGCAGCTCGCGCGCCAGCTCGCGCCCGCCCGCGGCCGCCACACGCTCACGGAAGAACGCGAACGCGGCGACCACCATGTGGGTGTAAATCGGCGCCTTGCGCGGGCGGCTGTAGTTCCGGTAGTACGGCACCCTGGGCGGCCGCTCCTCGGCCTCCTTCCCGCGCTTGTTCCTCCGGTGTGAACGCGCCCCCGCGGCTGACGTGGCGCCAATCTCGAAAGCGTTCTCACCGCCCACGAACGCCGCGCGCTTGCCGGGAAGGACCATGACGTCAGCCGCGGCCGGCCGCGCGTCGGGGATGTTCTCGAGCGGCGGCATGTCGTCGTCGGAGCCGTCCCCCATGGCGGCGTCGGGAAGGGTTTCGGGGTTTGGGCTGACGCCATCGATCGCTTGAGCGCTCGCGCTGACGTAATTCGCACTCTTGGGGCGGCTTTTGGTGGTCTCGAGGCTTGCGATGACGTCATTCGGGAGGTGGGTCTGGTCGAGGGTAGAGAGCGCGGCCCCGCGCGCCGCGCCCGGCTGCGCTTCCTGCGGCGCCGGGACCACTTCCATGTCGGCCCCCGGTTCGTGCTCCCGGGCGCCTTTGACGGGTATGTCGATGACGTCAGCGACCGCGTCTGCGGTGCCGCCACGTGGCGCCAGCACGGTGAAGGAGCCGTCCTGCAATTCCACGAGCTTGAAGCGCGCGGGGCCGGGCTTGGCGTTCGGGTTGACGGGTTTGGGCTCCGGTTTCGCGATCGCGCAGGCTTTCAGCGACGTGCGCGCGGCCGCATGCGCGGCATCCGCAGGAAGTACCTCTTCTTTGTCCTCTTCTTCGAGCGGTGTGATCTCCGGAACCGTGCTCAGGGACGGCGCCTTCTTCTCGTGAATCGCGCTAGAACGACGGCCCGGAAAAGTGGGAGACATGGGCTCAGTCTCAATCTGGTCGGGGAGCTTCTCCGACCGGTCAAAGTCGACCGGGACATTGAACCGGGCTGCCTCAGACGCTGGCGGCTTTGGCGGGAACGGAACGTTGGGGAATGGAGCACTTTCCAGAGCGATTCTTCCGGTTATTTCTCCCCCGGTTGCCAGAACCCGGGTAGCCGGTGCATTCGCCCCGTCCTCAATGAAGATCTCGGTTGAAGCGGTCGGGTGGGTTTCGAGCTTGGCAGGAAGTCCGGTTTCTGCAAAATTGAGTGTCGGAGATGGCTTGGCGATGCCCTTTGCCTGGTCGTAACCTGCAGAATATTTTGAGACAGGTTGGCGCCTTTCTGCCAATCAGGCGAAATCGGACCGCGCTGAAGCAACCCGGTAAGTTGGACTACTTTTGTAGACAGGTAAATCTGCAGGGCTTAAAACGATTGGCGGAAAACTGGTCTACGTCTCTCTGCTAAGCGTCGAGAAACTGCTAAGCGTCGGGAAAAGGAACGAGAACGTTCAAAACGATGACGGATGCTCGTCCAGCCTCTGTCAGATGCTCGTCGAAGCGCGTAAGCAGAAACATACGAGTCGGGCATCTTCTAAGGTGTCCTCCTCCTTTTTGGCCCTGTGGCCCTTTAGCAAAGTTTCTCATATTTTCTAATGCTAGCACGTCACGAATCATAAGTTCCTGCAGGCAAACCCGACAGGACCGCTTGTACATGTTCTGGCCAGTTATCTCAAGAATGTTCTCCACGCGCAGCATGATCTATTCTGAGCCTTCCAACTTCTGGTAAAGACTCATTCGTGGTCGCTCAAAATCTGCAGCAAACGGCGATTCGCAGAACCACACAGACCCGACCTTATCTTCGCCTTTCTGACCTGCCCAAAGCTCATTCCCGAGGATGCCTCACCTTTCCGAGAACCCTGCTGCGGCGGCTCCCGTCTGCGGATTGAGCCCACGTAGACTTTCATTCCCTTGACACGAATTGGCGACGCCTGCGGTCACAAGCAGTCCGAATTCAGTAAAAGCGAGGATGTAGACAGACAGCTTGAATGGTGTTTTTACTTCTCTCATGTCGCCGAATTCACAGTCTGAAACGCACGCTCTCTCCTCCTTACTTGAATGGAAACTGACGGCGGAATGGTTCACAATAACGTTGGACTGATCCTTCGAAGGTTGGCGCAAACGGCTAGTCGCGAGCAGAGTCAGAAGAAGATGGATCCAAAAAGGAAGCAGGGGCCGACTTGCACGCTGATCTGCTTGATGGCTCTAAGCCTTCTTGTTAACTTAACAAAACTCCCAAGAAAGGCTGTCCCCAATGTTTTCTTTTAGTGAGTCGTCTGGAAGGGAGGTGCCGGATTCGCAGAATGCTTTTTTGTTGGAAGAAGCGTCTCAAGGCTAGAACAAGTTCGGGTAATCTTCCTTTGTCTCTCCATGGTTGTTTTTTCGAAGTCCTTAGCTCACGTGTTTTCTTGCTGCGTTTGAGGCCTTCCAGACGTATGAAAGCCAATATGATGGTAATAGCAGATTCTATTCGTAGATTCCTTACTTTCAGTGCCCTCGCTGCAGCCTGTGGATCCGCGAACTCGATGTACGCGTACGTTCTCTGCAAAGTATAAGCAGGTCTCAGCTCGCGCACTACTCTTTGCTTAATCTAACAGGGCTCTTGCATGAACAAGTCCTGTCAATCAGTGTGCATCTTTGGACACCTGATTCCAAATCATCGCGCAATTCTTAAAATCAGTCCATCACAGCTTCCCTTTTCAAAGAGTATGTTCTTGCCCGTCCGGTTTAACGTATGTGACCGAGGCATATAAGGGCTCTTCTCTACTTCGAGAGAGGTCTTCAAGGGCTCCTTCCAGCACCAGTCGCTACTTAAACGCCTTTTTACATTACTCAACATGTTTCCTAAACAGCCATCGCTGAAAGAAGAACGCGTGCCAACCTGGCCTTTCTTGGTCTTGAAGGACCGCACTTCCACGCCCGCCACGTGTCCAAACTCCGTGAAGCGGTTCCGAAGGACCTGAGACGTCGCATTCGCGGGCAGCCGCCCGACGAAGACCGACCGCCCGTCCTCTGAGCAACAGACGGCACGTAACATCAAGAAGTTAGTGGGGAAAGAACGGTGATGTTATCTGCCCTAAGGCAAGGCCCAGGCCTGCACTGTTACCTGATGACATCAATATAGGATGAAAACGTGGTCTACCGGTGGATCCACCACACTGATCTCCAAAAGAGGCGGATAGGGAGCGAGCTCGACGACTCACCCTCAGTCTTTGTGACGCGCGGCTTTTTCCGCTGGTTGCGCCGCGAAGTCCTGTGGATGTGACCTGCAGAACAGCCAAAGCACCCGATTAAGGAATATTTACAATGTCAAAAACCCTACGGTCTATCAACGCTGCGCTTAGCAGCTCGAGTCGCTCAGTCTGCTTTTTTGCCGGAATAAGAGCGTCAGAATTGACAAGGGCCAGAAATGAAAAGATTAGAAACTTGGCGGCCAGACAACGCCAATTTTTCGACAGCTGTGGAATGCTCCGTCCCCTTCTTCAGAAGGCGATCTGTAGGGACTTTCAGGATTCTCGTCAGATTCTCACACGGATTCATTATTATCATTGCACTGCTAGAGAAGAAGAAAAAAACCGTCGCCAGCCTCACTTTCAGAAAGAAGATTGTTCAAAGTCTCCGGGACGTCCTCAGCCACCTCCCCCTGCCCTTCTTCCGGCTCGTCGAGATCCACGTCATCAGCGCTATCGCTGACGTCACTGCTGGAATCCTGAGGGCCGTAATCTTCGCGCATCCAGAAGTTGGTGTCCTGCAACGACAAGGCACAGATTCTGCCTGATTAGGCACACCAAGTCGTATGTTGAAATTAGCACGAAGGTCATCCCTCAAACAGACCGCTTGATATTTCTCCTCTTTCTGATTACCATCTGTTTTTAAGCAGGTGCTCATATACAGACCTTCAAGGTTGCACCAACCCAACTCTCTCTCTGAAAGCGACAACTTCGGATCCAGGACCCTGGGTAAATCTTACTCCGAAGCAGTGTGAAGGACAGAATAGGGCCCTACCCTGATTTATTATTTCTCCACTCTTAGAAAAGGCAATTAAAAGAGGAACTCTTTTGCTCGCTGGCAACTCTGTTACGTCCTTCGCCTTCTTCGCCTTCTGTACTGGGTCAAAGCTGAACAATGTACTGTCAGCCAGAGCAAAGGAGCCTCGCCAGAAGCAAAATCAGAGGAGAAGGTTTTCCAACCAACTTGAATGCATCACGCAAACAGCTTGTATAGACAGGATGCGACTGAGTCCTGACAATAGTCAAGAGAATGATCATAAATGGTGTTCTTCCAGGCAGCAGAAGCCTAGCCTTGAAAGACTATTCAGCTTCTCTTTTGTCCTTTTGCGCTACGACAGACCACGTCGTAGATCCTGACGAGGCCTTCAAGCCGTCTGCAGACTCTGCTGTTGCAAGGGTCATGCTTCATGCACTGACATGCTATCCAAATGCCATGTCTCTTGCGTGGAATTCCTTTGAAGGGAGATTATTCCGCACCGTGTCTCTCTGCGCAGCACTGCCATTGTTTGCATGCTGCTCTCTCTCCCGCTTCATTCCCAATCCCATCTGGCTTCCTTTCATTTGGCGCTCCGTTTCCATCCTGATGCCTTCTTCGCGGTCTACCAGAGAGTGGTCACAATGGCCTCTGATACTACGCTGCATCTTGCGCTTTTTGGCTGCTTGATATTGAGGTTTGCGTCGAAGCAGAACTGCGTAGCAGCCTGAAGCACTTCATCGGCGTGAACGGAAGCGTCATAGCATATCAAAAGAAGGTTCCCTTGCTAAGCTTTTACAAGCTGCTAAAGGTAAGACTCGCGCGCTTTCCTGCGTTGCAGATCGAATGGTTCCTTTCGCGGCACGAGGAACCCCAGTAGCTTTTGGACACGATTGCAGAAGGTTCATCATTCTGATCGGAGTCTTTTATGTCCTGCGCGCAAGGCAGCCCTCTCGATCCTAGCGAGTCCCGCCATGCAGTCTATCTTGTCCGAAGCTGCTTTGACATTGTCAGGGACAATTTGAGGCTGCAAGCGCAGGCCGGGCGCCCCATCGCTGCAATATAATAACTAGACCGAACTCAGCCGCTGGATCAGCGTAAGCTTCAAAGCCATGAGGTCATGAGCACATGAGCACCGTCGATGCTAGACAAATGCTATTACAATAGCATCCGTCGGTTCAAGGTTCATCCGTCTGCTCCCTCTCACGCCGCGCGCGCGGCTGGCCGCCGCGCTGACGAATTGGAAGTTCAAGTTGCCGTTGCGATGTTTGCTAGAGGGTTTGTGATTGCAAAGCGCCGTCGATCTGGAATCAAGCAGTAAGGACCGCCGATGCACTACGAGATTAATTCAAGACCGTTCAATTGGTTGCGGTCGGGACTGCGGCCGCCTAGATTTCAGGGGCGGCCGCCTGAGCGCCGAGCGGGCGATATACGGTATGCCGCATTATGATGCGCTCGTCGACTGCGGGGATCCCCCATGCATGAATGCGATCCCTCTGTCCAGATTCCAGCAACACTGTTGACAGACACATGTTCAGAAGTGCTTGCTTCGCTGCAAAGAGGTGTAACGCCTTTCAAGTATTGTGCGGGCTGTAGAATATGGCGGCACCTGCTGGAGGCAACGGCGGAGCTGGCGATACCGGTATTGCTGGAGCCAACTTCCCTTATGCTGTCCTACCATCCATCCTCAAAGACCTGGACGTTTTTGAGCTCTCTAGAGTGCGTCTTGTCAACAAGGGGTTCTATGAGGCTGCCTCCAGCCAGGCTCTGTGGGCCAACTTTCCTTTGCGCTTCACTAGGAAACTGCCAGGGGGAGGGGTTGACAGAAGTGTAGTGAAGCGGCTGACGGATGCGCAGTTCTTGGAGCTTGATCAGCGAGCAGGGAGTGGGAGAAGAACTAGAACGAGGGTCATTGACCTGGCAGGGTGCTGCAAGCTCACGAACGCCAGCCTCGAGGCTATTCTGGAAAGAATAGACAAGCACGCCTCACCCCCCTCAAAGATTGACATCTCCCGCTGTAGAGTGACGTCAGCTGAGTTTGTTCACCTTCTCACTCGCTTGGACCAGAAGTTGGAGGCCCCCTGGGACAAGTCTAGAACAAATCTGAGCTTTAACAACATCAAAGCCATCTACGCAGAAAACCTCACTTACTTGTCACAGTTCGATCTGACCCGCGCGGGGGGTCAGGTTGCGGTCTACAGTCACCTGTGTGCTACCTGTGGGGCAAAGGCAGATGACTTGGGCCTGTGCGGACGGTGCAGAAGGATCGAGCTGTGCAGAGAGTGCAAGGGAGTCCTCTGCAAGCGTTGCAAGGTGAATGCTCTGTGTCCCCAAGTCTGCAGCCGCACAGGCGACCACCTGGAGAGGACGCACTGCCGGCCGTGCGCAAGAGCCTTCCGGCGGCAGTTCCTGTGCTCCATGTGCTTTGGAGCGCTGGGGGTGGTGATGATAGCGATCTTCCTTGCAATCATGGTACGGGTGGTGAGAGTCAAACTCTGAACGCTTTGTTCTAATTGGACAAGGTGTGGGTCAACATGAATAAAGCTGTATACTGATGAACTTGGGCAGCTGCGTAAGTAGTCCAGGGTTTCATAAAGTCAAATCTGTTTTGTTCCACAAGCTGCTAGATTAAGCAGTAACAAGGAAAGTGAGATCAGCTAGCATCAAGGTCATGCCTGCAACAAATCTAGGGGAGAAGGAAGTTGATTGGACTGACTTGTACAGCCGTCGTAAGGATCTACCAAAACATTCGGCCTTGCGCTTTTCAAAGAGAAATGCATACCGCTTACACTGGCTTACACTAGCTAGCAAGCAAAGACTGCAGGTTGCTGCTTTGTAATTTTCAAATGGAACTGCCCAAATGATGCTCATCAACGTCAAGAACTCGATCTGCATTTTGGATGACACTGCAATGCTCGGGAGTACGTGGTCCTGGGCCCAGCTCCTTTCAGATCCTGCTTCTGCGGCCCATGGCTGTCCTGCTAGCTACTGCTGGCAGTCGATCTTCACATAGATGCTGAACTTGAAGGGTGACCAAGGATCAGTATGGTTGAATCATGATGCTTTGAGTGTGCTCCGGCCCCTAGAGGCACAGGTGTGGGTGGCATGCTCACCGATTGCGACCCCAGGCCTTTGAGTCGAGACAGTTTGCCGCGCGGACAACCTGCATGCCAAGATATATTCTCTTCTGCGATGAGCACTTGGCGGCAGCAGCTATGTTAGGCGGCCTGCACTGACTTGCGATACCTGTATACGAGCTAGCTGGCCGTCTCTTGCTTGATCTACGAACAGAGCGGCGGTGGACAGTCGTGCACTGCCCATCGATTCGGACCCATGATTCATGTGCAGATCTTCAAGGGCAACATTTTCCATACGTGTCTTGCATTGCAAGCATTAACATGCCAGAGCTATCCGTGTGGGTAATTTACGGGCCCATCGCGATCTTTTGCACAAGGGCCCGGAGCTCCGAGCTCTAGGTTCTGCATGGGCTTCATGTATAAGGTTAGACAGGAGCAGGGGCCACATCTTAAGAATACCTGAGCACGTGCTGAGAAGCGCAAGTACGTATACATAGAAAAGGGATCAAACCCTGCGCCAGCTTCGCAGCACACATGCTGGCGGTCAAAATCGACTGTGTGGAAGAGTCAAGTGCGATGAAGCCACTGTTTAAAAAGTTGGACCATGCATGCCGCCTGGCTGCATGCCACACGCTTGTCCTGAACTGAAATATCCAGGAAAGTGTGGGTGTGTTCAATCGAATCGATGATGACAATGAAATCGCGCAATGTGTACGAGGACAACACAAAACAGTGCAATCGGTCGGAATAAGCAAGTGCCAGGATGTCCATAACGTGGGTGACACAGTGCATTTCCGTCAAAGATGCCATGTCGCTTCCAATACCGATCAAGCCGTCGATCCTCATCACAAAAGGACTCAATAACGCAGGCGGCTGCACAGCCGATTCGACTTCAGGCCTCCAAGTGGCTATTATTGTGCATCGCTCAGCCCCCGAATCAAATATGTGTGCAGCTACCCCCAAGCATGTATCATCCGCATCGCAGTCGGGCATCGCAGTCGGCTATCTGAACCATGGTGGAAAAGCAGACATAGAAGCAAGAGCCGCGTTGAACTTGTTTACAAGAGTGGTCATATAAATCCTGAACCTCAGGGGAAGCTTATGCGGAGGCCTTGGCCGCTGCCTTCTCCTTTGACTTTTGGATCTTGAGCACCTTCTTCACGATTTTCTGCTCCTCGACAAGGAAAGCACGAACAATCCTGCATCAAAAGCGCATAGAGATGAGTACAAGAGTTTTCTTAACGGCATTAATCTTGTCGCTTGGTGTTTACTGCGATGGCCACTTCCTCCGCACAACGTAATCAACCAGACGTGGACAGAGGATGTTTGACTCTTCTTCCACAGGAAACAAATAGTGGCTCCTTCACTACTAGAAAAACCCGCAAAGAATCTTCGTTTCTTGCTATGCTCCTTCTGAAGCAATTCCCCTAAGACCATTCAGCAGCATCCAGGATCGATCACTTCTGCCCCAATCCTGTCTACACGAATTCAACCCCGGCAAAGAAGTGCAATCCAAACGACCAGGATGGACCTGCAACACGATGGCTCTCTCAACTGCTAACTCGTCTTGCCATCTTAAAAGCAGCAATCTTCTAACGGCTGCACCTTGTGGACATACTCGATGGTCTGATGCGACTTCCAACTGCTTGTGCAAAGTGTTTCAAACTGCAATTGTGCTGATGCGACCCCCAAAACATGTTTCAAAAACATAAAACATACATCTCTGTACTTTGAATGCCTAATGATCACCCTATGTTGAAAATATTTGAGGGTATTGACAAACGAGAATCCCCTCCGACTCAGTTGTCGCATGAATAAAACGGAGCCATCAAGACAGTCTGCACTCGTCCTGGGTCAATTGATCCTACGGTGAGACCTCGCTTGAGTTAAGGTGGCGTTAAATACAAAAGAACGTAACCCGACCGGGCCGCTACCAATCCTGGCTCGCCTGTTCACACGCGATGTACAAAAAAGTTTGATCAACGAAGGGCCCTACCTCTCCCTGACAACTCCCGCGCTCATGACCCCTCCGTACGCCCGGTTCACAGTCTTATGCCTCTTCGACAGGCGCCTGCTGCTGTACTCTGTCGGCCGCAAATGAGGAATCTGCAAAAAAGGCGCAGATTTAAAAGCTGCCGTCAAAGACTTTAGGACAAAACCTGCCCCTTGCTTCTCCAATCCAATCATTTCAGACAGCTCACCAAAGTAGCAGCTTTCTGCAGGGACGTTGATCTAAAGCGCTCCAACAAGCCCGTCGCCCAAAAGCTCTCGGCTGTTCGGTTTACAGTTTTGGCAGAATTCTGATTTGTGCAGTTACGAGACCGCGAGTGGGTGGCTGATTCGACGGGCTAGAGAAGCCAACATGACGCGCTCCAATAGGGCATAGCTATTCAAGAACAAGAGATGTTTTCCAGCTGCCTTAGCCCCAGGGTTCGTCCAGAAAGCAGTCGCCATCTCTACCCACTCCCGCATCACTACATCTGTTCCGCCCCCGCAATCTGTGGCTGAAACTGCCAAGTCAACATTTGTGCCCAGAAGTATCGACCTCCACCTCTGGCGAAACTAGGCTTTCCCTCCATATCATATTGCCCTTGTTCCTTTGTATCTGCCCCCTTTGTTTGTATCTGCCCTCTTCCGGGGAAAAGTCCTCATCTTCCCGTTCCCTCATTGCCGTCGCACTATGCTTCATTATAAAGATCGAGTGAGAAGTGAAAACTTCTCACTCCGGGACAATCTGTGGCCCGTTTTGCATAGCGCTGCCAACGTCTGCATTTGGGCAATGTCTACATAACTCATCCATGCAAAGTTGTACTAACGAGCGAAGTAGGCCCTGCGTACTCACCCCAGGTAGCCTGACATTGGTCTTAGCGCACTTGGGCCCGTTGGCGCGCTTCTTTGCAATGTGTAGGGTCAACTTACCACCTGAAAAGAGGATTGACCGTTCGGATCGCTGAGGTCAAGCTACTCTGATGAATTGGAAAAGGACTTTCAGAAGAGAGGGCGTATGCAAAAAATGTGTATTGAGACGAATGCAAACGTGCCTGTTTGCACAAACGCGCTGAATGAGCCATGCCAGCACGACTATGGAGGCAAGCTAAATGAGCAACTCTGACATCTCAGATGGGGAAGCCCTAGGGAATCACAAAGCAGCAGAAGTTTATCCCCGCAGCGTATGTGTGTAAAAAGGCTTTCCGTGTCGTTAACCAACAACAATAATTTGCTACTCGTGGAAAATCCTCAGGCCCGAGAAGCTCCTGACAACCATTACCGTAGTTCTAAACGCACAAAGACTGATCTCCAGAGAAGACCTTCACAAGCATCTCTGCCCTTGCATATAGGCCATTGTGACGGACCATTACCAAAAAGAGCACCGTGATCATTGCGTGACACTTTGTGCGACCTGGCTTATCCGCCTAGCCAGGAAAGACCTTCCAGGCTCCAAAGAGAAATGGCTCCTTTTCACCGATGCTCCTTCTAACGACGAGAAGCATTCCAGCCGGTGAGAATCAACCATTGGGACAGCATACAGGTACCTTCAGCACACCAGAGAAGGTCCGAACTGCCAGAAAATCAGAGGCTCCCAAGCGAACCATGTCGGCAGAGCATGTCAGCAGGAAAACAGCCCCACGCTACCGACGTCGAACATGGTCATCACAACCCTAGAAGCAATCCGGCAAGCGCATCACGCTAGGGCACTCACCAGGGGTCTTGACCTTCCTGACCTGGTTGGACTTGGTGGCATAGGAGTGCCGCCTCCGGTAAGTCAACCGCTGCACCATGGCTGCTGCCTTGCTGAAACACCGGCCCTAGCAACGGCGCTGAGAGGGGTGCAGCTGGAAAAGGGGGGAAGACGGCGGACGAGGCCGACTTTGCTTCCTCTCCGAGCGGGACGCTCTACGCCAGGATTTGAAGCACGTAGAGCGACATTGACAACCACGGACATATTCTGCCATTAATCGTAAAACCACTGTACGACCTGGAACTTGGGCCATGCTTTTTGACGCTTGTCTAGTTGCCAGCGAGCTTCGCAGCTCAGAAAACGCTTCAGTAGTTCTCACATTATTGTCATTGTGTGGAGCCACTTTGCTTTTGCTGGTGGTTTCGAAGAGCGCACACAAGGAGTGTTTTGTTGAAAGCTTGGACTGAAGACATTTGGTGGTGCTCCCCGTAGGGAGCAGTAGAAACTCAGTGAACGGGCTCAGGAGAATGTCGCCTGCAGCTCCCATTTGAGCTCAAATTAGCAACTGCAGAGTGCTTGCGCCTTCAGAACCTAAAGGGATTTGCAGGAAGGATGTCAAGCCTTGCTTCACAACACACTGGGAGAATGCAAGGACTGCTCGCCTGTAGAGCCTGGTCTGAAGTTGGCGGGCCAACAAAAAGCGCCTTCACACAACTGGCTGCAAACAAGAACCGCTTTCTTATCGTCAAGTGTCCCAGCAGAACTTATGCCGCTTCTGGTGAGACGCCAAACGGGCCTTGGGAAAAGAGAATGCTTGGTGTTATTGACTTTGTCAGTAGTGGTGCCCTATATCTGAGCATCTGAAGATTATATGCAACAAACTCATTTGCGGTAGGTGTCATGACATATTCAATTGCCACATACGAGTTGGCAGGTTTATTGTCTGAATGAAAATTCTTGTGGACAGCTTTTTTCTCAAGCTGCTGCTGCGAAACAATCAGCGTCAGTCAGGTCTGCTTGCATTTTGGAAACATTCAGAACCACCTTTCTCAAAGGTCTCCTTCGCTGAAGCCGTCAGAGTCTGTTCTGCATCTGGCCGAACATCTGCCAAACATTGCCTTTGCCTCCTCAGGATAAGATGGTCGCGCTATAGTCCAAGTATGTGGACACTGAAGTCAAAACAAGGGGACCTTGATGGTTGCCCATAGATCAGAGTCTCGTTGAAACATGGTGTATGATCAAATTTGTTTGTCATGAATGAACTTGATCTGGATGATAGCTGTCTGCTTGCAGCTTCTCAGGTTAACCTTTCTGTGAAAGAAACTTCGGACCAGGCGCGCGGCGGTCTCCCCCGGTTTTTCATCGAGCGCCTGCCTCTTTGCAAGGGACAAAGCGTACGCCTGGATGGCAACGAGCTGTGGCACATGGCCAGGGCGCTGCGCATGAAAGAGGGAAACAGGTGCAGAGGGACGGCACTTCCTTCTTCTTGGTTATTCGGTTGATACGTTTGTGGATTTTCTTCTGATGTTACTGAAGTCTAAAGAGTATGTGTTGTCCAGTTGCTGAATGCTGCCTTCCCTTTCGTGCCTCTGATCGATGCTTAAGACACAGCATCCATCTCTTGATCCAATCAAATTATCCTGTGAGGGCGTGCTAGCCAAGGAGAGGGTCCGGGGTGACGAGGAAACTCATTCTCTTTCCTGAGTCCCATAAGGGAATTTAAATGCATGGGTGTTGTGGTGACTTGCATTCTCCTTCATGAGTACAGACTGTTGGGATTCTGGTCAGGTAAAAGGCCACTGTGGGACAAAGAAAACCATCACTACTCGTCCCAGTAGTACTGAGAGCTTTCACACTGGTTAGAGAACATCGATCTTCACTTGGGTGCCCCTGTGGCAAAAGTTTGAACAGGCTCGCTCGGGCTTAAGGGGCCCAACGTTGCAGCGTCCAGTGCTTTGAGTGCGCAATTTTTCATCGCGGGTCGAAAGTATCGATATGGCCGTTCATGGAGTACTCTTGTGTGCAGACTTGAGCTTTTTGACGGCAAAGGTGGCCTGGCGCTTTGTACAATTGAGCACCTGGGAAAGGACGGAGCAAGCCTCCAGGCAGAGGAGGAGCCTGTCCGAGTCCCGCCTCCACTCTGCAACTGGGAGGTGGTTGTTGCGTGCGGTAAGAATGAACTCTCCCTGACATGGTGCGCGTTCATATCAGCGTTCGTAACAGCCCAATTGCTAGCTTGTACTACTATGTTTGCTACATATGCTTGCGTCTTCCAGTGTTCTCTCCCTTGTCCTGACCAGAATCCTTGTAGCCTGCCTGCCTGTCCCTGATCTGCCTTTTGACTTAAAAGCTGCAGGAGTCTGCGTTTCATGTGACTATCTGCGCTTTTTTCGAGGTTTTGCTGCTTCTTACAACCTTCCATGTGTCTATCATTCTCTCTTCCGGCTCAAGGGACTTCAGATCAGCTTGTCGAATCACCTTTCTCCGCCCACAAGCGTTCCCTTCATTCGCGCCCGATAATTTGTCCCTTGTTAGTCGCGTTCTTACCCCGAACAGGGCCGCCCAGAAGCAGAGGCATGACGCTGGAGCACCCAGAGGGCGACCATATACATGTGCAGGCAGTCTGAAAGGTGGCCGCGCAGACTGGCTGGTGGAGGACTTCAGAGCACTTAACGACAAGACCAGCTTGTCATATCAGCTTTTCCTTGCCAGGGTTCCCTCACTATCGCCCGAATCTCACCCCCCGTCAGGTGCACGCTTACCTCGAACAGAGCCGCTCAGAAGCAGAAGCATGACATTCAGGTACAAAAAGGCGACCATCCACCTGTACAGGCAGTCTGAAAGGTGGCCGCGCCGACTGGCTGGTGGAGAAGTGTACGGAGCTGGGGGCTTCCGCTTTGCAGCCGCTGCTGACGGAGCGCTCCCCCTCAGTCGGCGAACGCATCGAGCGGTGGGAGCGGGTCACTCTGGCGGCCACTAAGCAGTGCCAGCGGCTGCATGGGATGGCGGTGCGGGAGCCTCTACCGATTCAGCGGTTACTTCCCACAGTGAGTTGACCCGCTTTCCTTGAAGTTCTTTAGTTACTCTCTAGCAAGACTTGCTCTGCGATGTCTTTCCATTTTTCCTGACCGGTGTCAACGTGGATGGTACGGTTTCTCAGCAGGCTTTCTAAGCGGTTGCACGGGTTGGGAGGAGGCCTTTGCGCTGATTTGATTCCTCGAACTGACTGCTGGCGACTGTGTGAATACACAGAGGCTCAAGTCGGTAGGGTACAAGTCAGCCACAGCGAAACCCCTTACCATCAAAGCACTCTCATGACTGTCACCTGCTTCTGACTTGAACAGAAAGCCCACACCTAAGAAAGCCCTCATGCGCATCTTCATCTCCAAAGCGTCATGTGTGTATGTTCACCTTTGCAGGTGGCGTCGAATTGGGCTTACCTGGCAACTGCCGGCGCAGGCCCGCTACTGGAAAGCTACCGCGCAACGCCTCCTCCGCTCAAAGGAGGTCTGCTCCTTGTCGGCCCTGAGGGGGGTGAGTCGCTGCATCTGCCCACACTATTACCCTGCTTTTGCTCCAGCGAGGCTTTTCCTGCGATTTGAAGCCTTTCGGCTCGTTTCCCAACTCGAGCCGAGTACTCGTGTACTCCCTTCCAAAGGGTTTCTTTTCTTCTTCTTTATGATCCCAAGGGAGAGGACGGCGAAGTCTTGACGGCGTTCTTCGAGGATGGGTTCGCTCCTTTGTGCATCATTTGTGCAAGTATAGACATCAAGCCACGGCGACGAAGCAGAGGCGATGATTGGGCTTCTTATTTACTTGGTAGGGATTCTAAAGCTGGTTTCACCAGCCTCTGATGTGGCCGTCTGGTAAAGATTTCAACTGCCGTGACTGAAAACCTTACTGATGCGCTCTGGGAGAAGTTAGTCGGGCATGCCTTTGCCGAAGCTTTAAAACTTCGGTGAAGGCTGTTGTCTGGAATCACTGCAGTAGCATTTGTGAACTTTCTGACGAGCCTCATCTCCAACGCTTGTCGTTTGCGGTTTGCAACTCGGTAACGAATATGCAGCGAGTTTCTAAAGAAGCGTTTTCAGGGTAGCGGCAGACCCACAGCGCCCAAGCGAAAGATACCTTCTCAGTATCATGGACGTCCAGCCAAGAAATCTTGTGTTGGAATTGTGTAGAAAGCTTACTTTCACAACATACAACAGGCACAATGACAGTGCTCCTCATTAACCTGGTCTTTGAATTCTCCCTACTCAGATTTCACGGAAGGCGAGCTCGCAAGCCTGCAATCTGCCGGCGCAGTCCCCGTGGGGCTCGGCCCCCGTCGCCTCCGAGTGGAGACGGCCGCGATCGCGATGCTGAGCGCCCTCCAAATGGCCGGGGACACGGTTTAGAGCGTGCAGTGTGTATGCCCGCGCCGCGTACTGTTGGGGCGTAACTAGTATAAAGCGTCGACAGCCTACGGAAATCTAAGCGAGCGGAAACGGTTGGCTACCCAGGGAAAGTCTCGGGGCAGGGATAACCCTCTGCCAGCTTTAGGGCAACCTGGCATTCAGTCCAAGAAGGTGAAACCCGCCCGGGGGCCCTGTAATTCCGCCGTTGCGCTGCCAGTGGCGGTATAACCAGTGAGTCTGTGGTGGCAATGGCAGCTACAGGGCCCATAACGAAACTCCTTAGGGAGGAGGTGCTTGTTGTAAAGTGGGTTACTGTCGGGTTAGAGCCGGGGAGTCGGCCAAGAAAAGAGTCGAAGGATTTGCTAGCAGTGCGGGGCGGTTATGGGCGGGCGGGAGGCGCGCTGTCGGAACGTGCTCAAAGGACGGCGCGCGAGACGCTTCATCTGCGCTGTGGAACTGTCCTGAGCTGCTACGTTGCTGCGGAGAGTCCATCTCCGAGGTAAGGCGAAGGCAATGACGGGGCAAAAGTAGTTCCAAGAAGGCCTGTGCAAATCCTTCAAACTTCCAGCCCAAGAAACGAGATTTATGTGAGCCTACGAGTCCACCCAGTACTTGAGCGAGTCCGGTCAGGACTCTCAACCCCAAAGCCAGTTCCAGGCAAACATCCCACCAGAATAGCTATTTTGTCTTCAACCAAAGTCGTCTTTTTGGAGTCATTGCCCAGGCGCCGACCAAATATGACCTGGTTTGGAGGAAGCCATGCTTTCTGGAGTTCGGCTGCTTTCAAGCTTGCGTCCGCTCATGCAAGAATCGCCTCCGTATGAGACTGCTCTTGGAACTCGATTCGCTCATGGATGCAGATCGGACCTTTGGGAAGTTTGTCGCATAAAACTAAGTGCGGAACACTCCGTCTTCGTCTCATTGTCTGCGAAGTTCTTAACCTTCCGGAGGATCGCGGACCACGTGTCAAGTCTGAAGGTCGTCAATTTTGCGCGAAATATTGTCTCCGGCCTTGCTGCCGTCGTTGTCGGCTGACGCACGCCCCGGTGCGTCAGTCAAAGATCAACTACAGACGTGACTGTACCAACTGTTTTTTACTTTTGTGACAAGTTTCGGTGCTTCGTTGCTAGAAGTAGTTCAAATGGTCGCATTTGCCATGCAGGTAGACCAAGCTGCGGGACAAGACGGGTCGCTCGAGGTCTGGAATTGCAGATCGAGAAGTAGGTTCCGTTAGGGTGCTAGACTTCTCAACTCTGCAGGACGCCTCTCAGCGATCAGTTGGCGCAAGCATTTATTATCGTCCTTGGTTCACGAACTTTTGCAAGAAGCCGAGGAAACAAGGTCATTGGATAGTCACCGTATGCTGGGTCACTGCCAACCAACTAGTGGGAGGGTCAGTGGCGAATATAGGAGGTAGAACCAAAAGTGAAATTTAGTGCTAACCATAAGATGGCGAGTTCGTACGCGAGTTGTCCGTGTTGAGCTGTTTAGGAAGTTGTTCACCACAATCATTGGACGAGTGATGTGTCGAGGGTTCTTCGATCACAACGGCTCTTGAAAGCTCTGGATTTGCGGACTAAAGGCTAATGACAAAGGCGACTGCAGGAATTTGATAACTTTCTGACCATCTTGTCCTCAAGTAAATGTGTCAAACTACTTGAAATGCGAGTTTTTGTGCTCGAACAACCAGCCCCTGCGCAACACGTCATGCCTTCCGTGCACGTACCTTTAATGGGCGCACTGCATGAGCGCACTTGGGCCCCCGCCTGGCGGCCAGGCTAGGACTCGGGCCCAATAAATGTCTCTAGCTCGATGGCCCGCAGCTCGCAATACACATGCACCATATCAGCCGACCGGCATTTGAGCCCTATAGGGGCTCCCATGTCACATGCACGGCCGGGCGTCATTGGGCGGGTCACTGACATGCCTACCATCATGCCTGCGTATATACATGATGGTTGAACATGGCCGCTCGGCTACGACGGCTAGCTAGCCGGCCGGGCTCAAAAAGCGCATGATCGAATCAACGAGCACGTCAATCACGTGTGACCGGGCCCATCAATTAGCTAGGTAACTAAGTTTAGGTAACTCTAAACTCACTGAGCCCATGAATCGGGCGGCCGGTGAGTTCTGCAAGTCCAATGATCAATATATAGCTCATGTGGAAAACCAAGACATAATACGTGCTTGAACTAGCGAGCCGGGTCCGTAATGACTTGAGACCCTGTACAGGACCAGCTTTCGATGCCAGCTTTCCATGCCGAAGGTCGGAATTCACCATCTACTATTGAAAACAAAATGACGTTTTGTGTACACATGTGCGTTATGGCTCTCCAACACATCGGCGAGCTTCCATCGAAGAAGATAAGTGTACTTTGGAGCGCACTGTGGCTTGCTACCCGAAGGAAGCCACAGACTAAGTAGACATGATAATCTCAAAGGATGCACGAGTCGACGTATTTGGTGGCCTCCATGACCCAGTCGTGGCGGGTAGACGTACTCAAGCTGTTTGAAATTGGTGTCAAGGCTCCAGGTCTGTTGACTCTTAGTTCCGTCTGAAGCCTTTGATTACAGCAGCGAGCAGCTTGTGTTCAGCATCTATTCGTAGACGCTCATCCCATTGCATCCTAGCGAAAGGCTTCCAGATCGCTTCCCAAACCCGTTCAGCCGAATACTGCGGTCCCTCAAGTGCTGTTTCACAAGCTTCCACGTAAAGCTGGCGGCTCTGCAAGTCTGCTTCCAACGCATCTCTCATTTCGAGGGCAGCTTGCTTGATGGCGAACGTACTCGCCGAAAGCTGACGCCAGTCGGAGAGAAGCTGAACGAGCCACGAAGCCTCCATCTTAGCCGTTTTCTGCACTCCAAAGAAGGGCCACTTCAAAACTTTGCGCGTACAAAAGATGGACGGACTCAACTACGTGGTGGATCAACGAGGCCTGGCACGAGAGAGTCACGTCACACGAGCAAGCCCGCACCGTCTCTTTTTCTTAAATTGCGCTTAAAGCAACGGTAGCGTTTGCACCTGTACTGCAGACTAGAGAATTGGCAACAATGGAGCAGCAAGAAAATGGCGGCTGACGCCTCCTCATAAAGTGTCGGAACGAAGATCCTAAATCACCTCGTCTGCATGGTAAAGCAACTCTGAATCCAACAAAGTGTCTGCTTTGAGCTCCTCCAGACGTTGCACCAGCTTGTTCAGACCCGCTGTAAAAGCACGCGCTTTGACAACCTGGAAAGAGATTGTAAAAATCGGATCAAACGCGCTTCGAGTGAGCTTAACATATGCTGCTACGCGAGTCACCAAGACATGGACTTCCGGAGATTGCGATGCTGACTGCGAAGTCACAGTAGGCGATTGTCAGGCGTTTAAGCAGAGCATTAGGATGAAACAAGAGAAGATGTAGCCCATCTGGTAATATCTATACAATTGCTGATGCCCCCTTGTAAACGGGATAGTAAAGTCTTGAAATCCAAACACACCTTCCCAGTCATCAGAACCAAGCACAGTGATCCACGCGGGGCGAGCTTGAAAAAGAGAAACTGCAAGCGAATCGCTGGTATGTTCGTAATGGGTCAGTAGCCTCCCTTTCCAGTCAAGTTTCAACGCGAATATGTCCTGTCATTTTGAGGATTCAAGGGAAGCCAGCAAGGGCAGTCAGACATATCTGCTACACGACACGTAAGAAGTTGATTTTGAAATTGAGGCACGGTCACCCTCTCTGTTCTGAGAAAACCTGCCGGCTCAAAAGTAGAAAAAATTGAGGTGCAAGTGCTCGCATATGGCTCACCACGTCATCCGCTTGGTTCGGTTTGAACAACGAGCGCCTGTAAGCATCCATTTCCACGGAGCGGATCAAGGTGCGTATCTGATGCTGTTGGCACGCTGCATCTAGGAGCTGAACGTCCCTCTGGTGTTCATTCAGTGCATCCGCCAGACCACACCCGATCATGTTGATTTCATTTACATCTCCCCCTTTCGTTGGAATACTCGGAAAGATCTTTGAGTCCGCAAGCCCAATATCGTAGCATATCTTAACAGCCCTTAGCAGACTCTCCAGGTAGTTTTCCACGCTCTGCAGTACGGTGTGCAACGATGCTTGATCCGCTTTGAGGCTTTTGTTTTCCTGGCGCGCGTACTCTAGCATGGCCGGCAAAAGCTCCTGAACAAGAGGACAAAACAAGCTGTCTCACGAATACTTCCTGTCACACTTTTCGAGTTTTCCTTCTCACGATAGGTTCACATCCGATGCTTTCCGCGGAGCTACGTTCTGGTAACACTGTTTCGGATGTCCAGCAGCACTAGCCGCATGAAAACCTAACAGTTCTTTTTGCTGCTCAACAACGCGACAGAGATATTACCAGACTTGATGTACTGAATGCCGTTCGCAGTCCTTCTTCACCCCCTAAGCTTGACATGACGAAGCTCACGGCCACACTCTTCGATCCGCTGTACTTTGAGGCTTTCAGGTGGTCAAGACGACGTGCTTACCTTGTCGAGTAGTATCGAAGGTACGGGTCCCATTCTTCCTATTGTCATGTCCTGCGGCAGCTCTAACGTTGAGGAACCTTCAGCCGGTTCTTTGTCGTGGAGCTCCACCACGCGATCATGGAACCAGTCGATTGCATGCGGGATGACGCTCTCTTTGATTATGCAGCCCATGAAGAAGTCCCTCATTCGCGCACGATGGACTCTGATCCTCTTCCTGCAAGACATCGCAACGTCACCTTCTAGAGTTCTTTCATATGAAACTGAAAGTCGGAAGAACCCTGGTGCCAAAAATAATTTAGACTCCGAAAGGTAGACATGGGCAAATCAGTTCCGAATAAGAAGGCAGTTGTTTCGTGTGATGATCATGTTCTCGGACTCTTCTCGGCAGCTTGACTCTTTCTGATATTAAGTACCAGGCAACAGCCGTACCTCAGTGGAATCGTTTCCATTGGGAGACGTGGGCGTCTTGAAGAACTCAAAGAAGCCGCGAGAACTGTCAGGGCTGACAGTCGCATGTTTTTGCTCCATCGTCCAATCAGGCAGCCAATCAATATCTGTCCCATCCGCCTGTAACACCTGGTATCGGCCAGCTGCCGCCAATGGTTCCACGATGAAGAACTTGGACAGCTGCATCAAGGTGGCTGCTTTTCAACTGAACAGTAACTGGCTAGAGAAGCGAAAATCTAACTTCATTGTTATGGAATCATTTCGAATCCTCAACGTACCTTCAATCTCATTGGTGGTAAAAGAGAAAGAAAATGTCAACTGAGCTGAATTTATATACATTGAGTCAGATCAGCTGCCCTGTTTTATGATGTGAAACCTCCCGGATGAGATATAAACCCCTTTTGGCAAGTTTGGGCCGCAAATTTGATTGGTCAAGCCCTGAGAGATAAGCCAGCGACAGGATACAGCGCAAAGGGTTTCTTATCTCAGCTGGGTCTATTTCCCAATGCATCCTCATCGTAGAATCTTTACCACTTTGTTTTTGAAGTAGGGATTGGGGGCGAAGTGGAAGTGCAGCGCAAAGCCCTTGTTGTTCTCCACGGGACCGCACTGCACGTCCCGCAAAAATTTGAGGACCTCTTCATCCTGCGCAGAAATCTGCATGCGAAGCATGTCAGGTTAGCACACACTTTCTTTAACATGTATTCAACGGCACAATCAGCAGCAGACAGCCCCCGTCTGTGTAGGATCAGTACGAAATTGTTTTGTTTAATAGGGCTGGATCTCGAATCTTAGCTCAGACTACTGGTCTGCGGCGAGATCACAACGACCGGGAAGACCTTTCTGCCTTCGTATAGCCATCAGCTGGTAGAACTTACTCGCTTTCCAGTGGTAGGATTGTGCTTAAGAGCGGTCACCCAGAACTTGGACGAATTCCTCTGATCTGCATAGCACGAATCAGCGGAATATTGAAGTTCAAGGACTCCCTTAAGGAAATGACGTTGCCTTCTCGACCTGAGCTACTGCAGCCATACGATTCAGAGGTCACTCGGTGATTCGAAGGTAAACCTGCCACTTTCACCTTGCAAGTCAACTTACATCCAAAATGCTGAAAATTTTGCTACCTTCGTCACTCTCATTATGTGTCTCAGTTCCCTTCGTATCTTCTCCTTCTCCTGCTCTTGAATGCTCTTCGTAGTCGACTTTCCGATTCAATTTCGCCTCAACCTGATGGCAGATGAGGATCAGCTTTTAGTACCGCCCAAACCGGCTGCGCAGAACATAGGCTACCTAGCATTAGCTGATACACAAGGACCTGCAACTAAGCAAATCTGTGATATTGTTTGCTGAATCTACACTTCGTCATCACGGAAGCGGCAGGTCAAGCGGTCACTGCCTTGTATTGCATTTAGTCCAAGGCGAGCAATCCCTATTAATGTTGGACAGCTGAACGGAGTGATCTTCTTTTCAAGCATTCAAAGTACGTGTCAGTATAACTTCTGACGGATTCAGCAGTTCAAAATTTTTGACAGGTTTCAAATTAGACAAGCTCTTTTTAAGTGAAGTTGCACTTTTCAAACTGAAAAGCTGCGAAAGTCTTGCCACATCCTACTGATCCGTTAGAGTTGGTGCTTGATTATATATATTGTCTACGTCACTCTTCCCAGGACGACAAGATACCGTCTGGTTGGCGTCAGTGCGGGGCTCTGCCTTCTTCACCGCCCGGATGTATTCAGAAGTGAGAACTCCTAAGAACTTGCCCAGCTCCATCTGCAAAAGAGCCACACAAAAAGCCGTTTGCTCTATGATCTTGGGGTCTGGCAATAGCGCAACAGAAGGGCTTGTAAATTACTGGGTTTACAAAGCATCGAAATTCAAAACGTTGGCGTAATTTGTTGGAAAGAGCATCATAACGGCTCTCCAGCCCGTAGGTAGGAGGTAAAATATTTGAGAATGTACGAAAAATATAGATGTGCGCAGGTTTCAACGTCTGATTCTTAGTGAATCACCATTGAGAGAACACGCCCTCTGACAAAAATCCCTTCATTTAGCTGCACAGGAGGCCCTACTAAGAAGCCAGGAGATCCGCGTGCTCAACAGGTTCCCCACCTCCTTCTTTAGGTGATTCTGGTAGTTTTCCGCCTCGACATCTTCGAGGGCCTCGGTTTTTCCGTCCTCTCCGTTGAAGTCGCTCGTGACTCTGCCAATCCACGCCCGCTCCGGGCGTTCTTTCATGACTGTGATTCATGAAGGGAAAGTGTTTGAGGTAGGCTATGCAATACAACACAGCTGGTTTGGCACAGTCCTCGGGCCAGCTCACGACAGATCCCAGGCTTTAACAGCTTTGATTTTTGGTTCTAAAATCGTAAAGTAGTTTCTGGAAGCAAAAGTCAAAAATCTCGATTCAAAGGATCATCTGCTGTGTAGTCTCTTACCGTTGATTGTAGAGTGGTCCGGCTTCTGCGAAGTGCTTTTTGTTGCTGAGGATACCTTCTGCAGACTGCCACTGGGCCGACTTGCAGCTGCAGAAGCTCTCGAAGGAAGCGCGAAGGCGCAGGCAACAACGGCCAGAAACCCAAGTATAGTTCGTACAACAGACGGCAGGCCGGAAGCAACCCGATCAGGAGACTGTCTCTCCGGTGCAGAGTTTCGCTCCAGATCTGTTGCTTGTACCGGCTCATGATTATGACTTGTGCCGCAGGTGTACTGCTGTGCATCGTCTAGCTCCTCAGTTTCATTAGCTTCGCTGAGCTCTTGCTCTAAGATCGGAGTGCTTTGTTTGTGAGGAACAGCGTTTTGCGATTGGCGCGGCTTGGGGAAGATTCTTGAAGGGAGGAGACGTGACTGTCTGGTGTTTCTGCTGACTCCCCGGAAGTGCGCTGTGGCTGGTTGTAGGAAAGGCACTTTCTCCCGGTTCTTGTTCACTAGAAGTGAAATGACTGGAAACGCCATAGAGGAGACCTTCAAGCACAGAGAGCAGGAAAAAGGAGGTTTTTCTGGTTGGCTGACACCCAAGCAAAGATCATACCTATAACCTGAAAAGTTTCGCGTAGCTACAGCGAAGCACAGTGCATGAAGTTCTCTATTTAGAAACGACAAAGGTATCCAACTAAAACAACATATCTTCAGAATCCTAACATTCACGGAGTCTCAGTTGGAAAAGTAGTCACATCTTAGTCACAGGTGAAGAAACGTTCTAAAGTCCGTCCAGAACACTCTGATAACGAGGCTTTTGAAAGTCTTCTTATGGGTGGGTAATCTTTATAGACGTATCTGTAACAAATTCTCATTCAGCAGGGTCTGTTAGTGGAAAGTCGTGCAAGCTCTGTTACATTGTGACCTCAGAGCGGCAAAAACTTACCGGCTTCCTCACGCTGAGGGCCAAAGCACTTCCTTCAGGGTAAGATGGTCTTCCGAAGATTCCCTGTGAGTGGAACGTCTTCGTACGTGTAGCTCGCAAGACAGGACGGTCGCGTCCGATCTTCATGAATTGTGTGTGGCTGATCCAGGTGCCTTCCAGTCTTGGTCCTGGGACCGCTTGCAGATGGAAACAGCACGCCATAGAAAGCCGCTTAACCGTGCAAGAGACGAAGCAACTTTGCAAGGGTTCGCTGTGTTTATAAGCGGCCTGAAGGTTGTACATCAAGCGTGAGTTTGAACAAGTTTGAGGTGGCTCTGCGCCTCTTCAAAGCAAGCAGCTTTTCCCGAAGCTATGAACGGTAAAAGTCTTAGCTGTGCAGGCGCCTTCGAGCCGAGTGTGTACCGTAAGCTGGCCTGAATCTCGTATTGCAGAAGCTTGACGACCAACTGGCCAGGTTTGGAAAGCTAGCTGCGAGATCGAACATTGTGGATGTGACCCGTTCTTTATTTTCGGAGGTTCGCGACCATAAAAAGCACAGAACAACGGTCACGTCAACCGGGTGTCGGTGTAATCTAGACTCACCCGCAAATGACACGGCGCCAGGAAGATTCCCACCGGGCCACGAGTCCCTCCCGCTCGTGCACGGTTGACATGACTACCTGTCGATCAGTAGACACCAGATTCATCTGTGCAGGGGGTCTGCACGCGCACGCGCGCAAGCTTTCCCGACAACTGGCAGCGCGCAGTCCCGACACGCGGCCGGCCAGGCCGCGGGCCACGCCGGACTCGCCGCCGGATCTTTCAACATTGAAGCCTGTGACTCGATCTTATGATCCCCGGCGGACCCCGCGAGGCCGTACCGGGCCGGACCCGCGGCGCTACCCGGCGTCCACGTTGGCGACCAGACTCCGGGACCAGCACATGGCGCGGCTGCGCGACCGATCGCCGGCCAACCCCGTTTCAGGTGATCATCATGATATGCAATCAGATGCACCGGGCGCACCTCCCGGGCGGCCTGCGCGCCCGGCGCAGGCGAGCGCGGCCAGTCTTGAAGGGCGGCCCGCTATCTTAGTATGATGGCCGCGGGTGAATGCCGGCCGCCGCGGACCGTCCTGCGCGCGTCCCAGACTAAAGAGTGTCTCATTTGTGTTAGTCTGAAAAAGCGAAGTTGACAGGGAATTGGATGATCATGAGAGACGTCAACATCAGGAAGAATGGGGACACGCTTCCAAATCTCGTCTTATAGCGCGCCTTGAAAACTTGTATCCGTCCTGACCCGTCGGTTACCCACCCGGCTACCGTTCATATGTTTAACGGTTGAATTAAACGGCGCGTGAGGATCTTAGTATTCCGAAGCAGAGGTGGATCTTTGAACTCTTACTTTTATCTTTTTGAATTCTTAACTTTTATATACACGACGTCGGCAAGCAGAGAAGCTGATTACGCAGAAGATCGTCACCTTTTTGTCGAAGAATTGGTTTCCGACCTCACTGAATATGTACACATCTGGCTGCAACTCACAGAATCGTGTGTCAGAAGAACTTAGCTGATTGTATCATGAAGTATCTCGCTTCGATCAACCGTGCAGTCTGCGTCAACTTCGTTTCCCAACTAACAGCCACGTGAAAACGCGGGCCGCTTTGGCTGTGGGCGCTTTCGCAGGACAGCCACTTCGAAAAAGGGGTTTTGAGCGGCCAAGTTCTTCACAGCGGAGATTGATGTGCAGCGATGTGCAACTTCGTCATCCGAATCTGTTAGATACTCCTGCCTTCTCAAGCATGACGAACCATTTGAGAATACGCCATTCATCAGAGAGGGGAGTACTTCGAAGAGCTGCGGTAATTGTATACCGTACGTTATTGACAGGCTGCGGCATCAAAAGCCCTCGGGGAAACGAATCATCACCGGGCGCTTCGATGCGGCCAAGGGTACACCATTGAAGTCCTCGGATCGAACGGAAGAGAGCGTGGTCCTAAGAATGCTCGCTTGAAGTTCCACTTACTGTACCGTACAATCTGCTACTTCTCATGGCATCAGTAATCAAGACCTAGGCTACCGGTCGCAAACCTGAAGGCGGATCCGCTGCTAAGCTAGTGAGCGTAGCTCGCACGCTCTCCTGCATTATGAGCGACTGCGTCTTGGGGGCCTGATCTCCCGACAACAGCAACAAGAAGGGCGACTGGACTGCCCCCTTTCGAACCTTCCGCAGACAGGAGTCGTCACTGAGCTCATGCCTGACATCACGACTAGCTCCATATCGTCACACTTATCAGGTCCAGAGCTAGTACTGTGATCATCACCGTTTGATGTCGCGACTCGATCACCTCCCTCGACTCAATGCATATCAGGAAATGATTCTGAATGCTGGGAAAGGAGCGCTGATCCGAAGCGATCGTGATGGGACAAGGAGACGTTTGCGGAAAGCAGTCAAGTGCCTCTACAAGTCTAGCAAGGGAGAACGACACACGGACCCTGCCTTGCTTTCAATCGACCAAAGTTTGGAAGTTCAGATGCTTCTGAAACAAAGCGGCCTCCCTGCCATTCTCAAAAGATCCCATGCTGCCCTCTCAAGAAGCTTATGAAACGCAAGGCTAAATGTTTAAATCTGCTATCCTATGCAGCCCTCTCAACTTTGGCACGGATCGGCGCAGCTCTGCTTTTGGAGGACGCGCTCAGATCCGTTCCTCGTTGCAAGGGGCAGCCACGTGCCCTCCAAACAGACGATGCAGCAAGACAGAGCAGTCAGCTAAAAGGAGCAAGTCTGCAAGCGACCTGATCCCACGCAATGGTGCCCTTGAAAGAAACAACGGAGAGGAATGGTGCCAAACGTTTCTGTTGCTTGCGGCTAACTTAGCGGGCGTTCTCCTGCAAAAGTTGGGTGGCGGGGGAAATGGCAGAGAGGACGGCCCAAAGCTGCGCGAGCTGCAGAATGCGAGCAGGGGGACTCGCGCGCGCTCGCTCCTGAGGGGTTTGCTTGCGGTAGGTATCGCAGAGATTAGACACATACCGGGCGTCATGCTGCAGCTCTTCCTGGGGCCTTACGAGCGCATCCATTTCTTTTATGAGGGGACGTCAGATACGTATATACACAACCACCGGCTCCCCTTTTGGACGGCTTGCCTCGCGGGGGGGTACGAGGAGAGCCTTTACGAGGTGTCGTCCAGGGAGGGGGGAGAGCATTTCCGCTGCAAGAGGGAGCCGGGGGGGCGCTTATCCGCGGCTTACACAGCCCCCGGAAAAGTAATCAAGGTCAAAACGCGCGCGCACGCGCCCGGCCACGTGATGTGCGTGCGCTCAGAGCAGTTCCACGCGGTGCGCGTGAAAGCGCGCAGCACGCTGACGTACGCCGAGTACGATGCGTCATTGCCGACGTCAGAAGTCTTCGTATTGTCGAACAGGAGGATTATGGAAATGGAAGCGGAGGAGGAACAAGCGACGAGACCGGCGACGCTAAGTGAGCGTGCGAAGTTTGCGCTTCGCTTGGTGCGTCAGATCAAGGTATGTCTAGTTTGCTTGGCGTTCTGGGAAAAGCTTGAGCTAACCTGCCGTTGAACAAGATTTCGCAAGATTCTTTGATTCACGGCTTGATTTGAATCTGTGGGTCCTTTAAGCAAGAAAATCTTTCAGCCGAAACTTCCGGATGATGCAACTCATTCATCATTGCTTCAGCTCGTTCTGCCGGCTCGATCAAGCTCGTGTAGCACCTTTCTAAAGCCGATTCAGAGGAACGCTGCCATCGGCTTTTCTCATCGATAACGACTCTGTTGAGAGCTTATCTGTAGCAGACAGACTGGCGCAGTAACGCTTGGAAAAGGGGCGTAGTCCGTGTTTAATGGCTGGTTTCCGTCAGCGTTCCAGTGTTAGCAGTCCGTTAAGCGTTCTGACCAAATCTGCTCACAGAAAGCATCTGCCGTCAATCAGCTGGGATATCAAGAGACCCAAAATCTTGGCACAAGAAATGCTACATCACTGATTACTGGCCGGGCATGTTTTGACTCCTTCTGTTGTTCGTATTTCAGGAACTCGTGGGATCGGAGGCCTAACGGAATAAATTCGCATCGTAGCCCATGCGCAAACCTCCAGGATGGAAGTTCGAGGTCGGGAAGTGCAGCTTGCCCGGCGGCTGCCACGTAAACCTCCAAATATAAGGATCCCCTATACGTATACAGTAGATTGCAAGCGTCCAGATGGGCAGAGCACATCTGGGCCTATTGTAGCTGATGGAGGAGATCACGCCCTGGCCACTTTCGTTTGCAGTCGGCTTTTACTATGGGAGGGCGTTGGAGCCAGCGTTGGTAGATTAAGCTACAGGTCAATGTACCTGCCAGGTGGACCTTGTGCAGTTTCCGGTGTTCTCCCCCTCCAGACAATTCAGACATAGATGAGTCGGATCAGCATTGAGACCGCTGAAAGCAGTTGTACAGATTGGAGTATATATATAGGAGACGGTGTTCTCATAAAGTCTCAGGGAGTCCTAACAAAGTGGGATGACTGTCGTTGAATCCTTGAAACACCGCTGCTTACTCTACTCATTGCCAGGTCTAGGCAATGAAATGCGGAAACACAGTATGACCCCGGTAAAAAGGTTTTGAGCGCCTTAGCTGATCCGACTGCCATATTGGTGGATAGAGACAATCCTCTTCGGTGCCGTACCATGTGGCGGTGCATGGTAATCGCATATATGTATACGCAACTTGCCAGCAAGTCGACTGCGGATTGCCACCTTTCTCCAAAAAACGCGATTGGACGTCATCATTCAAGAATGCAATTGGTCACGTGGACTAGCTGCATGACGGTAAGATCCATGTTAATGAGTAACCCGGCATGCGCGGCGGCCGCCGTACGGGCCTAGGTCTGACCGGCCAGAGCATGTAAGACTCTTACAGGGTTCGAGCTTTGGTTGCATGACCTAGAAAGAATGATCTGCTTGCAATTGTCGTACAGAGCTAGTTTACGGCATGCATGGTCGCCACTACCTGGCACGTACATACCTATATGATGATTGCGCTGCCGCCGCAGCAACTAGTCATGAGTTGCCGCGAACAGTCCAACCCGCACGTAGACTTGAGTTCCACTATACCATGTTTCTTATATAAATCCATGCACGGTTTCGGGAGCACGGCCCTAGGCTCGCCTAGCCCGCGAACTTCCGGGCCCTGGAGGACGGCCGGCGTCTGCCACGCCGCGGCGCTAGCTTAGCGGGCCAGGCCTCCATATCAGATGGCATGCATCGAGCCCTTATATACTGAGTAAGCGTATACTAGCTGTGCTTGCCGAAACTATTGCTGACGTACTACGGGGTTTATGCACAACCGTAATAAAGCTAGGCTATCGCTTCGTACTATGATCGGCTCCCCATCAGTGGGGCTGATGAGGACAAGATCGACGCAGGGATGGAGCCACGGTTGGCGAGCTGAGCGTAACACTCGTGCATGAGCAGCTGGCTTTGCTTATTGGTAGTGCCAAGAACTCATCATTGAATGAACATTAGAAACTTGATTCAAGCACCACTGATAGGTCAATTTTACTTTTAAAAAGACAAGTTTCTGCTTGCTTGCGATGCTCTACCAAGTATTACGAGTCAAGGACCTTCCAGATCTACTATATTGGCAACACGTTTTGAATCCATTAGTTATGCATTCTCAGACACAGATACACTCAAAGAAGTAGAACCTTGACCTTTACATGCTCTTTACCATAAGCTCCTCGCCTCAAAGCAGCTTCGCAACGGACATGAAACGCTCAGTCGCCTGCAAAAATGGTTGTTATTTATTAGTGCCAGCGATCTGGGATCTGGCCGTCTCCAAACGATCTCGCAATCGCCAGTCGGGTGGGAAAGCCCTCGGTTAGATTGACGCCCTTCAAAGTCGACCATTTTTAGTACTGTTGGTACAATCAGGCAGCGAGCTAACAGGTGGAGTTCGTTCACCAAAGTTCACACTGCTCCATGGAAGCACCCGTTGAGAAACCTGACAAGCGCCTTGACGAAAAGCTCAAGCAGGTTCAATGCTCTGGACTAAAGTTCAATTTAAAAGATCACGGCAGAATTTGTGGCGCCAAGGACCGGCTACATTGTGGTTCAGCTCAACGAAGCATCGTACACAGAGGAGAAATGAAGAAGCGGTGCTTACGGCCTCCCACGTCAGCATCCTGCGCTGTGCTGGTGAAAGCGGCGCCGGATGGCCCTCAAGCGCTCGCTGAAGCGCCGCGCCAAACTCCTCTGCAAATACCAAACGTAGCGGAATTAGCATCGAGCATTCCGTCAGATTCAAAGACGAGATATTTCAAGTGTCTCGGTTTCCCAGAGTCGAATGTCTGAAAAGCCTAATGCAATATCTCAACCATTCTAACAGCGCCGTTCGGAGAATAATTCCGACCCAAGCAGATTAAGCTGATTTGGTTAAGCTCAGACAATGAAGAAAGCTTGTAGGACAGGTATCGGAGGTCAGCATTGCCTCTGGGCTTTTTGAAACTTTATACTGAAGTCTAGTCCAACAACCAGGTCAGGAGAGGGTTAGCGTCTGGCTTACCTGGAACATCTGGGTCGTTGCGGATGGTGTTCTCCGGGAAGTTCTAAGCGAATCAGATGTTGGACGGGTGGTCGGCGATTACATGCCAACGCTTCTTGAGTTCTGGACGCGTTTCGTTCGAAACCAATTCAACAATGTAGTTCAACAACGAGGCTTCTACAAGAAGCTTACCTGGAACATCGGGGTCGTACAGGATGGTGTTCTCCGGGAAGTATTGCGCGAAGAAGATGTTGGACGGGTGGTCGGCGATCACGACGAACTTGCCCATCGCCAACGCTTCGGCGGTGGTGGTACACAGCACGTCGCTGCAGCTGGGGTTCACGAACACCTTGTAGCCCCACAGGGACGCGTGCGCGTGGTCGCGCCGTCCATGGAACGTGACCGGGAGAGCATTCCTGAGAAGACAATCGAATGAGTGAAATATTGTAGCTGTTCAGCACTCAGGTTTGATCCTCGATACATTTTGTTTTGGGTTTGGGTGCCGGGAAACAACATGATCTGAAGTCGACGAACACCTTGTAGCCCCACAGAGACGCGTCCGCATGGTCGCGCCGCCCGTGGAACGTGATCGGGAGAGCGTTCCTGCAAACGTTTGGATAGACAATCTGATTCATATATAGCATTGAGACGGACCTGAGCAACAGTCAAAGCTAACATTAGCATCTACAGAAGTTGTAGCCCCAGAAGGATGCGTGCGCGTGGTCGCGCCGCCCATGGAACGTTACCGGAAGAGCATTCCTGCGGAAAAAATGGATAATATACGGTTGTTGTTGACGTTCCATACCCCATACTCGGTCTCTCAGGTTGGCTGTTTCTGATCCGGGTGACAGTACACAGCATTTTGGGTCAACGAATTCTGGTTCCCTCAGAGGAACGCGTCTGCGTGGTCGCGCGGTCTGTGAAATGTGACCGGGAGAGCGTTCCTGCAGACTTTGGAACATGATTGGATTTCGACCAGATTGCGACTTAGCGCGACGGTTTCCAAGGCTTTCCTCCAATCAAGGACACTGGAAGAAAAGTAATATTTGCAGCCCAGAGGGACGCGTAAACATCGTCGCACCGGGCGTGAAATGTGACCAGGAGAGCGTTCCTGCAGAATTAAGGAGAGACAACCTGCTATTGGATCACCGTTCTACTCGAGCGACGATAAAAGGTTAGGGTATATCCAGTCTCTATGAACGCCTTGTAACCCACAGAGATACGTCCGCGTGCTTTGCGCCACCTGTGGAGTGTGATTTGGAGAGCCTTCCTGCAGAATCTGAGAAGGCTTCAAGAGCCAAGATATATGCAGACCTGAACGACGAGCAAAGCTCTGCTGGAACTACGAACATGTTGCAGAGCCAGAGAGAAGCATCCGCACAATTCTCGCCACCCAGGAAACATGTTTGAAATAGCGCTTTGGTGGGAGAGATCTAAGCACCTGCATGAATGCGGCTTCAAAACTGACTGAGTCGAAACGGATACATTTCAAGGTGAATGAGCTTCCAGAGTAAGAGCGGCATTCCTTACTATGGTCCCTTCAATCCAAAATCCTCCAGGCAACGTGATGGTGCTTAACCTCAGGATGTTCCAGCCGACCGGCGACTTGAGTGGAAGGACGATCGAATCGTTTGTTGGATGTTACTCTGTTCCTCAGTCCCAATATCTCGACCAGCAGAAGCCGCAGACCAAAAATAAGGAACTCACTCAGTTGCGAAGCCAATAATCTCATCCTCCTCGCCACCAGTCCCGTAGCAGTCCACGTGGATCGTCGCCCGTTCACCCTTGGGCGGCCCGCTGACGTCCGCTGACGTCATAGCCGCGTCCTTTACCAGGCCGTTTGCACGCGAGCCGGCGACATGCCCCACCTTTCGACCCCCATCTTCGTGCGAACCCAGCTTACTCTGGTGCTGCTCCCCGAAAGTGGCCCCGTCAGTCTCCACGCTCAGGCGCACTTTGATCGGAGAGTCGCTCCCGAGTCCGTTCAGATTTGCCTCAAGCCCGTTCACACCGATCTCAAGCCCGTTCACACGCCGTTGAAGCCCGGACACACCCACGACGGGCCTGTTCACTCCCGCATGAGGGGCGTTCACACCCTGTGTAGACGCATTCCCACCAGGGCCGCTTGCGTCGTCCTCCAGAGTATGAACGCGCGGCCGAATTGTTGGCACTTGGCCGTCGTCTATGACGTCAGCATCCTTGAAAGCAGTGCTATGATCAGCCGCCGACTTGTATGAGGGGGGACTAAGACTCTCGGCATAATGTATCCGGGGGCCCTGCTTCCCCAGCCCCCTTATGACGGCGGCCGCCTCGGCCGGCGTCGTTGCGCTATCAAACTTCGCCTTGAGCGAGTGCCTCCGGGCCCCGTTTTGGCCACGTGGCCCCCGCATGACGTCATCCTGCGACACCCGAGACGCCTGATCGGCGGCCTGCGCGAGGGCGGGGTCAATGGACGCTCGGCTCAGGGGGCTGTCTGGTTCGTCGGTCTCGCTAGGGTACTGGCTGATGAACGCCCTGGTCTCGCTAACTTCATTCCATCCGCCTCTGCTGACGTCACTCTCCTCCTTGGGGGTCTCCAAAAGGCCGCCCTCGTTCGTGGCGTGAATACCGTTCATTTCTACCGTCCGTCCGGCCCCGCTTGGAATCCGGACCGCTTCAAGACCGATCTTTCTATCTCTCTCATACAGGCCTGTCCCGCCCCTCCGCTTGGTTTCAACGGGCCGTAGCCTGAATGGGAGCCTCAAGAATCGCCGCTTCTTTTCCTCTAGGGGGGAGGGCTCCTCCCCCCTCTGCCGCTTGCAGTAGTCAAGGAGCAGGTCGCACAACTCTTGGTATCCTTTCGCCCAAAGCATCTGAGAAACGCAGATGAAGAAGGGTCGGTTTGACAAATCAACTCATACGATCCCACAACACACGCAGTAGCAGTGTCGGAGCGGCTTTGGAGCTTCAGGTTTGGTAGGATCTTTGACTTCCTAAGCGTTCAGAAGTTTCGCCTAAGTGAGCACCTGCAAGCTTGTTTCTATCCTTCTAACTCTTGGAAGCAGCAGATTTAGTTCGAGCAATGGAATCGTGCGATGTGACACGGACCAGCTACCAGGCTGATTGCGCGAGCTGCCTCCAATCTTGACACCTTCGGAATACCGGGAACATTGAAGACCACGCTAAACGAAAACGGCTTCGCACATCACATCGTGTGGCTTATGGTCTTTTCAAACCCGAAAGTCAGCTCTCACGAGCAGCACCTTTCTCGCGCCTGCGTAGCCAGCGAAAGGGGCCCTTCAAAGACAAAGACATTTTAACAGAGTTCGACTCCTCTTTCTAATGAGAAAAGATTCCAAAGCAGGTTTGGTCTCTTACCTTTCCAATAAAGTAGCACCCCTTGTCAAACACGAGGGGCGCTCCACGGTCCTCAATCTCTTCTCCCGTAGTCCGCCCGTCTCCGTTTGCAAGGACGACACTTTCCCCCGCAGTCTCTGAACCGTCAGCAACCGCGGATTCCGGCGCAATTCCGACCTTTGGACGACCGGAATCCGTCAGGTGCTCGTGGACGGTCAGAAATTGGGGCGCAACGCCGTGGACGTTGCACACGACGGCGTCGAAGTAAAACTGCGCCACGTGGGGGTCAAGACTGTTTTTAGTTCTCCACTGAGTTCTCTCTTGAGAGGTTGTAAGGCTCTGTTCCTCCAAGGAAGCGTCAGGGATCATGTACCCTCGAGCGAGCAGTGTGACGGTGCCCTTACAAAAATCAGTTTTGAAGCTCGGACGAGCTAGGTGGCGGCCCTTTGAAATCCGCACTTCGCACTTTGCACGGATCAGCAAGCTGGAAACGAAAGAAACCCCAAACGGAGTCAAACTTCTTGCGATCATTAGCCTATTGCTACATACTATTTTTAGACAAGCAAAGGAATCTGTGAGCGGAATCCCAGAGCGGCCTGTTCGCAGCCCTGCAATTTATACTCCCGGAATGTCTCACAACCCGCCTCTCCTTCCCGTTTATGCGACCTTAACAAACAACCGCGGAAAGCGTCCTTCCTCACCTGCACGCCCTCCGAGAGGCGGATGGCCACGTGGCAGTTGGCACGTGTCCTCCACACGTTGACGAACCAGAGCAGGAACGCGAGCACCGGGCCGCCGCCCTTGTCCACCGGCTGCCGCCGGACGTACTCCACGTAGTTGGTGTGAATAACCCCGATCACGAGCCTGAACACCTGGCGCCACTTGGGACCAAAGTGGTACCTGAAAACAACACGGAATTCTGCACGTGGATGACAATCTTTGAGATGGAGGTGCTTTGCTGGCTGAAGAGACCAATTGTCGAGTTGGAATTTCGAATGGGAGCGCCAAGTATGCCAATTATAGTCGAAGGAAGGTGGAGAGACTTGCCGTGCGGAAGGTGTGCTGAAGTGAGTTGGCCTGAACGAAAATCGTCAGATGCTCATCCAAGACGCTGTTTGCGAGAACGATGAAAGGGAACAACCCTATCCGGAACCGGATCGGAACAACACTATTCAGCCGACCCACTTGGAAACAATTTGTCTTTCGGCACGGCCGCCGACATGTTCTGCTCGATAAGAGCCATTCCGTATTGCATGACCGAAGCATGACTACAACCGCTAGCCACGATTTGCTTGACCAGAACAACACATTACCAGAGCTCCTCACCGTCTGTTCGAACGTTGCCCCGCCAAACAAGGTTGACGAATGAAGGGCTCGACAATTGCTGACCCCATCACAAACCAAGACACAGTATAGGTAAGAAGAAGAAGCTTCGGCTCCTCACCAGCAGAGATGCTCCGGCTCTTCCAGCACCGCAATGTCCGCCTCCGCTTCCGGTATCAGGGGCGTCAGGTCGAACCCCCCGCAAGGAAAGATGCTGTTCTTCTCGGCGTCGAAGCGGGCTGGGTAGAAGACAATCCGGAAGTGGACGTCGAGATTTAGCCGGTTGAGCAGCCACTCGCGGATGTGGGTCTCTTGGAGGGCGGGGGTGGCGAAGACCTGGTCCCGAGGGTAGACGATGCGCTGGTCGGCAGCCTCGAGCCAGGGAATCTGTATAGGAGAAGCAGTAGGCCATTTGGTTAAGGTTTCTGCTTAAAATACGTTGAAATGTGTTCAGAAGCTGAACGATGCGCTGGTCGTTGGCCCTCGAACCAGCAAATCCCTGTTAACTCTGTGTTCAAAAACAAAAACGAACGATCCGAGGGGAAATTCGCTGGTCGGGTGCTTCGGGCGAGGGGATCCGTCCTCGACATAAAGAAAGGACGAGTCGCATTGAAAGGGAGGTTCTTCTGGTGTCTCATAGTTAAAGTTGAGTCCCTGGTTTGGGCGCTCCAACCAAGGACACTGTTCGTTCAAGGGAGAAGGCCTCACTCAACTGAATGGTGTTAAGCTTCATTGCGTTAGCAAGTCCGATGATTCATGGCCTGCACATGAGAGAGAAATAAGAAATGCACGGCCTGACATCGTCGGGACAAATCACAGGAAATTGTCAACGAGAGCTTGCTGCGCGAGCGAGGGCAGGCTTACCATGAGATTGACTTTAACGTGTTCCAGTCGTTCCAGGTACGCCGCTCTCAGGAGGGGGTTGATGCTCGTTCCAGTCAGCCAGGGCAGGGCCGCCGTTGTGACCACAGTAATTACTCGGTGCCGGATAGTCGGACACAGGGGGCGAGAGGGGACGGCGACAGGGAGCAAACCGGGCTCAAGTTTGCCCGACCTGAACAAGATGGACTCCGATAAGCGACTGCTTTTTGCACAAATGGACGGCGCCAATGATTCTTCCTTGTCATCATAAAACGGATGCTTATGTGACTTCTCGCGGTTGGTCATTCTAAGAAGGGGCTAGTGCGACAGCAAAAACAAGAAGCGTAAGAGGAGTGCCTTGAATTAAGGGACTGTCACCTCTTTTGCAGATCACCAGCAAGTACGCTCTTTCAAAAATTGCAGTATGATAAGGTATTCTCGCCAGCAAAGCATGCTGTGCAAACAACCTGTCATGGGACAAATGCATGAACGGTCATTTCGAGTGACAAGCCCGACTACAAGAGGGCCGCCAGGTGTTGATTTCTGATCATCAAAGAAGTACTGAAGAGAGAAGGGATCGGGCTCTTCACTATTTCAAGGAAAGATTGAGAGGTCAGAAGGTTCGGCCTTACTTGAGAGGAGCCTCGCTTGTTGCTGCCCGGAGCTCTTTGACGCGCTTCCGCTTCAACCTCGCGTCGCGCTTGCTCTTCTCCGTGGCTCGAATGCGGGAGATCAGGTACAGAGCATTGTAGCGTTTGACTGCAAGAAAATGACAATCACAAATGTTTCTATAAAAGTCATTGTCTGATGGATACTTCACCCCTTCTGAAAACAAAGAATAGCTTCGAGATAAAAGAGGCATCTCAACTGTCAAACCAAGAACAAAGGATCTTTATGTTAAGCGTGTCAGCAAAGGCGTTGTTCGTAAGATACGCTTTGATGACCAAAAGTGAACCGCCAAGAAAGAGAGGGACCTACCAACGTTAGCCCAAAGTGTTCAGTGAGAGATAAAATATGGAGTCGGCCCTGAAGGACTGTCCTTGAATCTGCACCAACATACTAGGCCAAACAGACCACTGCTACTCAGAAGCTTCAACAAGGAAGAACACGCTGGTCGCCCCGAGCCTGTCAAGTGACTACTTTTGTAAGAGCCTTACTCGCGTGCCTCATTGATCGCCACGGCAGCCGATACCCGTACAGGTTCTGCAGCACTGCATCCTCCGGCCTCTGCTCAGGCCTGCGCGTCAGAGGCAAGAACCTCCTAGCCATTCTCAGGCTGTGCAGACTAGTCAGACTGTACATCAAGTACAGGGCATAGTCCCCGCACTCTTGATCCCGCACTCCCACCGTCGATACGCTCAGCTCCTTCTTTGTCAAGCAGACATAGACAAGGGTGCCGTCCTTCCTGCGCTTCCAGCGGCCGTGCTTGAAAGCCCTCTGGCCTGGCAGGGACTGGCCATAGACGCTCGTCAGCTGGCCTGCTAGCCAGCTACTAGCGAGGAGGCTTGCAATGCCGCTCAGAATATCTTGAAACTGCTTGCTTGCGGCGTCTAGGGGACGGACTGTCTGCATTTCATGATTGGCCATCCTGAAGCTAAGTGTCTAACAGCGGCTCTGTGTCAGAATGCCACTGGTTTTGCTCCAGGCTGGATCAAGAACGGTCATGTCCAAATCATTGGCCCTGCTTTAGCAACATTCCAACGGTGCTTGGACGAATGGACAAAGGAACTTTCTGCTGTTTGAGACGTAAAAGGCTATTCTCTGGGAGACTTCCGGGTGCCGGCTTGAAGGGTTCTAGATGACCTAAGCTTTTCACCTGAAGCTTTTCACCTGCAATGCGTGCAAGATTGGCTTTACACACCAAGTGGCATGACACTCCTGAATTGGGGCATTACTTCAGTTCTTTCACTCAATCTAGCTCCGGCATGCCTTGCTCCTTGATGCATTTGGACACAAGACCACTGGCCATTTTGTCCCCAACAAAAGCAATCAGGTCCCATTTCATAGTAACTTCTATTCTCTTTGACTCTGTATGCAGCCCTGTCCGAAATTCTGAAGTTGCAAGACCAGGTTCCTCCAGAAATATCTACTTCTACCTGAATAGCAATGCCAATGTCCATGCTGAAAACATCCAATTGAAGATGGAAAGCAGGATACGAGGGAACCAAACTCAACCACCGCCTCAGATGACTTAGCTTACCTGAGAAAGTAGGCATGTCAAGGTCGTTTAGCTTGAATTGCCAAACTGGTAGAGAAAGGGGCAGCTGGCAAGAATGCTGTATGAATCGCAGTGAACCAGGCCGGCTCAGAAGCTTGCAAGTGGGGCCAACTGGAGCACAGTCTCCACCTCAAGATCCTTGAAAACCAGAGCGCTGCAAAGACAGAGGCTAATGCTTTCAGAAGAATGAGAGACACGAGAACGTGTGCTGTTCTTTCATGGAGGATCACCTTCCCTCGTTCATGAGCGCCCTTTCTTCCAGTACTCTTGCTCCTCATCAATGGCCAACTCTGATTCTTGAGTCTCGAGTTCTGTGAAGGTGAGCAGCACACGAAGTGGTGCTCGAAATGGCCCTAGCCTTTAATTTGGCTCCTTTGTGTTTGTCAGCTCATCAACCAAATATTGGTAAATCCTTGCATGTTCACGGACATTTCCATTTTTCTCGACTTTACTTGCGGCTCTACAAATTGTGAAAGGTTTCGTTTCTGAATCGAACGTACCCAGAGAAAGAGCCGGACTATAGAGCCGGAAAATGGACACTGTCATCTCAAAGCCATGTGTTATGCAGTTGACGCAATTTTGATCGACAATTCATACAATGCTTCCGCTTATGCATGCCCGTTCGATTGCATCATGCTCAATACCAGCTTTATGTATCAGCATCGTATGCGAATACCGTATACAATATACGATCAATGACTTAATAGGAGCATACTGCATAGGATCG